GTCACATGATTTATCCATGACACCAAAACCACACCTGAGGCGATTGTGAGCCGCACAGGTGAGGAGTAAGACCTCGAGCAGCCATTTCCTAGCCCGGAGCACTTACGTTCTGGCTGAAGCGGTAAACCTTGTGGGTGCTGTCCTCTGGGTCGGGCGCCTCTCCATCGCGATTCGCGCTCATCAGAGCCACCAGCTCCTTTGGGACGGATATCTGAAAGGGAACACAGCCATAAGCAATGCAGCCGGCACTCAGCGTTATACTCCATACTACAAGCAGTTGATAACAAAGACTAGCCCAGATTTGTTCTGTTATTAGGTCATCTCTGCCAAGCAGAACATAAAGCATACAGAAAATGTTGTCTTGAAGACAGGAAATATTGAATTAATAGAGGAGTACCTCCAACAGAAGTTAAAAGGCTCACTTTCTTCAGACAACTGAATTGTAATATCACAGTGCACATCTATCTTGCTTTTTGCTTCCTTAAAACTATTTACACCAGGACTGCAAATATCCCCTAACTCTATACCAAAGTATATTACTTAAGTCCTTTTCAAGTATTTTTTTACTTTACAGCACTCCTTGCTGTCTTACTGTCAGCTTTTCCTTCATCTTTCCAGCATCTTTCTTTCTTACTACTGCATTTTTACTTCCTTTTGCAAATAGATACATAATAATGAAAAAAAGAGTTGACATATACAAAAAGGAAATGGTAAAGTTAGAGAACTGCCACAGGGAAGATCACCTCTTTCCTCTCACATTGAGCTGAAAGTCAATACTGTGGTTTTATATTAGGCCACGTGCTGGCAGCTACCAAAAAACCTTGACCAATATAAATTCACCCATTGTAGCATTTGTCTTCAGTTAAGACACACGACTTAGGTTCATCTACCTCTGCATAGTAGGTTAGTTTCACAGCAGGAGTGTCTTGGCATGGAAAAATGGCTCTGCAGTGGATAGCCTAGAGAGGGAGAAAAGAAAAGAAGATAAAACAAAACTGTCTTTCTAAGGCAGAGGACTAGAAATAAATCAATTAATACACTATAGTGCAAGTCTAGACGGCTCCTCCAGAGAATTTGTTATCTGTAATCCAGCACTTCTATCACTTAGAGCTTACAGGCCTTTGTAAAAGAAATAATAGTAGGTAAGGCAGATCAATGGACAAAAGTATTGGTTGTAAAGGACCATATGTTCTTCAACATATGGATACTGGAGTGGGTAAAGCAGTTCCAGAATTACCAAACTGTAAATATATAATAAAATCTCAACAACAGCCTAACATTAAGTGCTTTCATTTAGGACCTTTGACACACAGCTAGAAGTTACAGGCTACTGCCCTTCCCCTTTCTAGCCTTTCTCTCCAGTTCTTTAGAAACCAAGGGAAATTACAGTGGTATGTCAACAAGTTTGGAAAAAATGAACTCAACCTGGCACTGGCTGAAGAGAAATGGGTGTTTCTTTCCAGAAGTTTGCTCTGGAGTAAACCATTGGAGAGCTGAAGACTGTGGAGAGCTTTCAAAAGAGATTTCAACAATTGCTTCTTGTCCCCTGTACAATGAAGAACACAGTCAGACTGTTTTGACACAAATCCTGATCACATTGAAATTCCTCTGCAAAGATGTCCGAAAAACAGGTCTGCAGCACTGTCTCAAAAGCATTAAAAATCAGAATAAGTATCATATTAAAAGCGATAATTCCCTTTCAGTTAGGGTATTAAAAAATGGTTAGCTTATTTCATTTTTACATCCCAAGGTACTTTTATTATTGTTTTTACTAACCAGAAACTTTTCCTCTTCTCTCTTCAAGGAAAGCACAGACTATTTGGGCCAGCTACATGTGTATAGTTTTGTCACAGCTAAGTTACCTTGTACATGTTAGTGTAAAAAACCCTCTGCAATACACAAACAAAAAAAAAAACCCTACATGAGTGCAAAACCCTACATAAGAAGATACAGGACCGAATAACATAGAATAAGTATTCTGTACATTAAAAATTTAGATTTTCTGTCTGATGTTAATGTTCTGTAAGTATTATCCTTAAGAAGGAAAAAACACCCTGAAAATTATCAGTAATTGTAGAATTAATTCCTATTAACAGTAGGAGTTAACAAGAAAGATAAATAATGTTCAGGTTTTATTCAGGGTTTCAGAACTAGTGTCACGCAAAAACTAACAGTTATGTGTAAGACAGGAATCAGTTTGCTAATGAGGGAACACACACTAACCTGACACATTCATACTCTTATTTATTAAAAACATATCTTAACCATCACTGACACCCAAAGTACATGGAAGTACTTGCTTCTGTTCTCAGAAAGTTCCAGATTACACATGCAACTCTTGGAATAAACAATCCAGCCATAAATCAGAACAAGCTTCAGCTAATCAGAGGAATTGGACACTAGATAAGCTGACCAGGTGTACACATCTCGTTTATAACCAGTATTCCAAAGTACATATTAGACAAGAAAAGAGAAAATAACTGGTATTACCATAAGGCACAATTCTTTCTCAACAATCAGACGATCAGACTTCCAGTTGTAACCCCCACCCTTTCCTACTGTTGTTTTAGTTACATGGGGAACTATGTCTTACACTAGATTATGAATTCTTATGGTCACAAGTCATACCTCCTCTTTTTTTTTTAACCAGGAAATTTAGAACTTAAAAAAAAAAAAAAAAGGCAGCTGAAAGTCAAATAAAAGAAATGGGCCTATATTTCTGATGTGGCATGTTTGCTCAAGTACTTAATTTGTTCAATTTCATAAGAGATCAGAAGTGTTTCTCCAGAAAGGACAACTATTTTATGACATTCCTTTCTCTTCCTCATTATTTGTGTTTCTTAACTGCACTAATTCAAAGTACAGCATTAAAAAGAAAAAAAGCTTAAAAAACAGACTAAACTGAAAGAGTTTTTATAGGCAGCAAGGAGTTCTAAAAACCAAACAATAAGAAGTAAGAAGTAACTTAATATTCAATTTTATTCAAACAAGGGAACTTCCTTATACAATCACAGCTTTCAGTTTTGGCACCATGGAGGATTGAGATATCACTGAGTTACAAAATACAAAGCAAAATGCCAAAAAACATACTGTAATTTGGCAACAGCTTTTGAATTCATGCACATTAAGAGGTAGACCCTGGTTAGTTCACTCTCCATCATGCTGCCAACATGAATTAGCATAGTCAACAAAATAAAACTTTGATTATTTGAAAACATGCTCTTATCTAATCATAGTGGTAACCTGAAGTTCTACAGAAATGCAGAACCAGCCCTTGTATAAAAGAAAATCCAACAGGGGCTGTATCTTCATGTGCTCTACACTGCAACAATTCTTAACCAGGTAGTTAAAGCAGAAACAATATTACTGATGAGAAGCACTGGAAAAATTGTGATAAATTTCTCATTATTTTGCTACTCAGTTTAGTAATTAATTTTGTACCTGATACAAGGTCTGGGGACAGATACAAACACTCTCGAAGTTTTGACTAATGCAAGCCAAATATGACATTAATCTACAAGATCATACGAAACAAATGCAATACCCTGATTCTAATTTCTAAGTCCCTTTGCAAGCTTTACTCAACAACCCTACAGGCAGACAAGCAGCTTATACAGTGCATTTTGAAAACCACCTAAAGGAGCAGGGAAAAGTGTGTACCTTCTTAGTTCATTTGGAAATGTGATTTCTAGAGGGGTCCCCTTGAAACTGTGCTTTTCTCCAAAAGCAAACTGTGCATCCTGTCCATTTACAGTCACTTTAAATACCTGTACGTCTTTTGTATCCAGGACCTGTGATAAAGAACATATTGCATGCCAGTTAAATAGTGTAGAATAATAAATGCAGGACTCTGAAATCTTAAAACACAAGTCCCTCTGAAGGAAAAAGTATTTTCTAAATAAAACCAGAAAAGCTGACTCTGTTGACCACTGGTAACCAGCATTTTAAGAGAGTAGCACTGAACTAGGAAAGCTGGAAGGGACAGAGGAAGAAAACCAACTTCTAACCATAGAAGCGAATTTATTAAGAAAAACTGCAAAGGTAACAACTCCACAGTACTGCTATGAAGTGAGGAGAACGGTATAAAAGCCCCTGCTAAGGCTCCTGTTGGAGCACGCCACTGTGAATCCAGAACTTCATGCAATGGAAGGTGAATTAAATAGTGCAGTACTCATTTTCAGCAGGAACGAGGCCTTACTCTTTATTACTAATAGGATTGGGCTTTTTCCCTAAAAAACTAAGCGCCAACCACAAAAGAATGTTATGGAGTCGGCATGAGAAAAGCCCAGAACCCCCAAACTTCGAATATAATGCGAAGTTTAAGAGGTTCACATGCTTATTTACAGAGATAACAGAGAAAGCACCTGGCATAACGAAACACACAGGCGAAAAAGCCCCAGATCTAGATTTCCAGTGATTTATTCCCATATTTTCGGCAGCAAGGGAAGACACAGTCTTGCCCTTCCCTTGCGCACCGCGCCGGCTCTGGGGGGCTAAGCGGGAACCGGGGGCTGCGAGGCGCTGTCAGGCTCCAGCCCAGCAGCAGGCAGGGGCGGCGGGTCCGGGAAGGAAGGAAGGAAAGAAAGAAGGAAGGACCGGGACGACGGCCGAGGGAAGGACGGGGAAGGGAAGGACGGGGAAGGGAAGGACGGGGAAGGGAAGGCGGCACGGCGCCGGCTCCGGGCTCGCCCCTCGCGGTCCGCGGGGTCCCCTCGCGTCCCGCCCTCACCGCCCCCCCCTCAGCCCCGTTACCAGGCGGCGCAGCGCCTCGCGCTCCGCGCGCGCGGTGAGGGCGGCCGTGCCCCGCAGCACGCGCGCCGCGAAGTCCGCACGGCAGCGCAGGTGGAGGTGCCGCGTGAGGCAGCACGCGGGAGACGCGAACGAGCTGGGGTCCGCCATCGCTCACGCGCCGTCTGCCCGGCCGTGCCACCCGGTGCGGCACAGAACCCGCCGCGGAGAGGGGAGGGGAGGCCCCTGGGAGGTGTAGTGCCGCCCTCCGCGCGGAGAGGGCGGGGGAACGCCGTGAGAACTACAAAACCCATGGTGCATTGCGGGAGAAGGGGGTGGGTAAACCGAGAAGCTAGAGTGACTCGAATCGGCCCTCACAGAATGTGAACCCTACTGGAAGAGAAACGTGTGTACAGTTCCTCGTTAGTATAGTGGTAAGTATCCCCGCCTGTCACGCGGGAGACCGGGGTTCGATTCCCCGACGGGGAGGTACGAATCTTTTTCCCTAGCTGCTTTCTAACATAAAGGCAAAATCAATTTTTTGGGAAATCAAAGCTGTTCCCAGACAGTCGTAGTAAAACGACTCCGACTCTAAAGCAGAAAGACAAGTTACTCGGGTCTGGCTGCCCACCTGCTCCAGGGCTGCGGTAGTGCAGAGTTTCACAAGATCAGCTGCAAAACTGAGAGCAGGCACAAGGAAAGCATTTTCATATTTTAATGGCTCAAACAGCTGAACAAAAGGGTTAAACCTCTCGAAAACATTCACCCTTTTTCTTAAACTGGGATGGAAATAACCTGACCCAGACTCACTTGAGTCAGAAACAATGGGAACAGGGACAGGTCAAATGGGCCCAGGAGAAGAGGGAAGGTGGAAGGCCAGAGGCTGTATCCTGGCTTGCAGTAACACAGCCTGGCATTTTTGTCCTCAAAACGAGAGCTTCAGCGATCAGAAAGCCCTGAGGCTTCACTGGATACTGCCCGGAGCATACTTAGCTATGTGCACCAGCTAAGAGTAGTTTGCAGAACAGCTGTGAGACTCCAGCATCCCTGCTTAGCTTTACTTAGTATCACTGCAAATGCTTTATAAGGCACCCCATCTTTTTTAATCCTTTTGCCAGAAACTTATTTACCTATTTAATTATTTATTACACAGTTCAGCACAAAGGTACTAGGAGAGATCTCCTCCTGTCTGTGGGAGGTCAGCAGATGCTGAACAGTAAATATGATCACCCAAATTTCTATTTTTCCAAGTCAAGAAATAGCTCCATGGCCAATTGCACATAAAAGGAGTAAGGAATTAAGACCCAAGGCAAAAGGCCAAGACACCCAGCTGTGAGGATGCATGTGCCTGGTGTTCAGAGCAGGAGGCTGGTGAGCCCTGCTCTGGCCCTGGCTTTGTGTACTCTGGCAGTTCCAGTAAAGCTAATTTGATGCCCTGAACTGAAAGTAGATCTGTACCATGAGCAACCTTGCATCATCCACTCAACCAGCAGCAAGCACTCAAGTGAGGATATGCACAAGAGAAATTTTCTCTGTCTAATAAGAACTAAGAAGCAACTTGACAGAAAAGTTTGGCAACAAAGGGCAATTACTCTTAACACAGCATTGCTGGAAACCATGGACATGTAATGCCAAATCCAGAATCTAACCCCTGTCACCCTCAGAAATTGGTTTCTGAAGCAGCACACCTTCAGCCCAAGTGTGGACAGCCATGGGAGCAGCACACCAAGAGCTGTGGGGAGCTGAGACCACAGGAGGAATGCTAGGCTTGATGTACTGTGCAAGGCCAAGAGATGGTTTCTGTGTGCTCATCAGCTGATGGCAAAGCCCATGGGCCTCTCAAGAGCATCCCACCACCCCAGCTGTCCCATCTGGATGTGAATCTGAGATGGCAATGTGAGAAGTACATGAAGAAGAGGGGATGTGAGCACCATCCACAGTGATACCCTGGAGCTTTGTATAAACCCCTAGACTGCTGCCACATGCCCAGACAAACTAAGGCAGGACTAGGAAGGAGTTTTAGTAGGTCTGTATTATAGAAGGGAGAAAAAATAACCATAACATTTCCCCTTTCGTGATTTCTGAGTTTCCTGCCACAGACACTTCTCTTTCTCAAAATCCACATATATATGTCATCAGAAAATCAAGGGAACTTATTTTGCTTAGTAGGCAGTTTATTTCAAAACAGAGGTCAGACCATAGTTGTTCATGAGTGTTGGCATCCAGTCAGGCAATTTCAGCTGTCATAAAACAATAAGGGATAAGAAAAGCAATTAATTCAAAACAGAACTCTGCTCACAGGGTTTTTAGTCATAAAAAAAGAGTCTTGTAAGCAATTTCATACCTGCTTAGTCGTGGTTCTTGTTTTCAGATTTAGCTTTCACGGTGCTCAAGCCACTACCCAAGAGGCAAAGTTTTGCTGTAAATATTCAGCTTCCAAGGTCCCAGAAAGGCATTCTCATTGGTGCATGGACAAAGGTGAAAGGAAGAGGAACAAGGAGCTCAGGGCACTGAGCAGGGTTTTACAAGGTCAGCCTCTCTCCACATGCAGGATACTTTGGTCTCACCTAAGTCATCCAGGTCAGCTCAAACTCTTTCCCTTCTCCTGTGCTACCAAACCCTTCCCACCCCACAGTGCTGTTGTTCCCCAGCTGGCAGTACGGAGCCAGGACATCTGGAATGCCAGCAAGCCCAGACACAGCTCCCCACATGTTTCAGACCTTCCTCTCTTTTGATGCTTCTATTCCTTCCACTTAGCTTGCCATCATGATTTATTACCCTCAATTTATCAAAAGCTCATGGACAGCCAGTATTACAGATGGTCTGTGGCCAAACCAGCAAGACAAGGGCAACGTGGAGAGCAAATGACCAGTTCCAATCTTGCTGAATTCATAGGCTGGTAGCAAAGCAACACTGTGAGGAGATGTGGGCTGGAACGTCAGTATAAGCATGTTAATGGCATCTTGCTAAAGCATCTGTTTTAAGTGTGTTCAAACCCTGGGGACTGTGTAATTTCAAGTATTTTGTCCTCTGAGGGTTGTATTCATAGGTGTATTTAACTAAGTCCATTTTATGTACCCTTAGCCATGATGAATGTTTCAATTAACCTTTTTCAAGGTGATTTTTGAAAAGTAAAATATTGCTTGCAAATGTTAAAAGACCACTTTATGTCATTAGCAGTTATGAAACACAAACTTATGAGAACTGAGTATTTTGGAAATTTTATATTGGTGATTAAGAACAAGGAAAAGAAGCTAGGACCCCTTCTCAAACTTAATAACTTATGTTAATTGCATATCACTTGGAAGTAAACTAATCAGTAAGTAGGGAGATGAGGAAGAACTTATTAGAAAATGTCTGTATAAATGCTCATCAAGGGGTAATAGCAGGAATAGACAATGACAAATTGTTCACAAGCTTTCTTGCAGGTCAGGACATCCAATGTAAATATGTTGAACTGGCCATTTAGGAGGATACAAGCCCTTTACTCCACCTTGGTTCTTTTACAGAGACTCCCAGTGATAAACCTTTTGGTTGCTAGGAGAAGAGGGGTATTTTGGCCTGTTAGAAGGTGCTGAAACACTTTGCAACAGTAGATGCTGTTTGCTTCTGATCTCCCTGCACAGGGTGAACCTGGGGATCATATAAATAAGATAAGCAATGTAAAAAAAATTAATCTTCATTGGAGAAGTTTCAGCTTGTCATCATTAGTATCCACAAACTTTTGGCCCCAAGAACCCCAATTTGTTCTGCAGTCTTCTCTGTCCACTGAGGAGTCTAGCTGCCAGCGGCCCTGGCTAGCTCTTTGATGGTGCCAGCCTTGGATCAGCTCCTAGGAAAAGAGCTATGTGAGGACAACAGCTGGGCCATGGCTGTCCCCAGTCTCTGCTGCCATCCCTGCCTGCTTCACCATATGCAGGTGCTGTGGTCTGTGCCCTTGCTGGTGGCAGCCTGGCCCCAGTGCCCCCAAGGAGCAGCCCACCCCTGTAGCTCCCTGGCACACAGCAATCACACAGCAGCATGCGGGCCTGTGAGCACAGAATGCCACCAAGGAGCTGGCAGTTGAGTCCTCTCATTGAGAATTTCCAACATCTTCACAAAGGTCTGGGCATTCAGGCACTGCATGTTCCTGCAGCTCCACTTGGCTCACGGGAACAACAATAATATAAACTAGATGGGATGCTGACCTACCTTTCAATTAAAATATACCCAGGCCACCATCAGGCATTCGACCCCAATGCATTGTGGTTTTATAGCTCCTCCAGACTACCCTGGCATTTTTCCATATTCACTTATAAGAAAGGTAAATAAGATGTCCACTTTTTCTCCAGTAGCTCTTAACATCTTGAGTACTTAACACTTGAGCATAATGATGTACAAGGTGCTGGTCCATTTTGTATGTGAATGTATATGAATGACCATCAATTAATCCAGTTTCCTGGGACATATAAATGGAATTTTTTAAAAAGCAATATCTTACTAGTAGTTTATTCTCCCTTTATTTATTTTTTGAACTGCTTGAGAATGTCCATTCTACTTATTTTATTTTTCCTGAGCAAGACAGTTCCTCAGTGCTGTCTTCTTTGTAGAAGTGAACAAACACTTCATATAGTTCTATCTCTACCTGTCAGATGATCTGTTAAATATAATTTCCATGTTGCTAGACATGCACAAATATTATACCACCAGAAAAATTAGCCTCTGCTTTTAGGCTATGTTTTTTTGAGATATGTTTAAGCTACTAGAGAGAACTGATGGTCAGAATTACTATATTATTTCAAAAGGAAAGCATCCAAAAATTGCAATACTCATTTGATAACGTTAACCTACAACTTTGGAATACACTATTAAGTAAGTAACTTTAAAATTGCTACTTGAACTGACTATGTTTATATTTCTACACAATTATGGCACAATTCCCTTTTACCACTTTAGGGTGTGCAGTGTGTTTTCTTCTCCAGAGGATGTTATTTAACTGTGCATGGAGATCTGGCAGCCTCAGGATGTCATCATGACTGGCTCAAGTAAGGATAATTCCTGCCTCAAACTCAAAAATCTAGATGATGCACAGTTAACTCTTCCACTAATTTTATGGTAAATGACTATTACACTATTTTGCCTATTCAGGATTTTGCTTTGTCTCATATTTTTCCTTTGTTAAATATTTTAAAATACTATGGATGACAACACTTCCTCTTTCTGGTCATGTTAGTTGCATGTAGCAGCAGTGGGTTACAATATCCTTCTCTATCTGGAAATCCTAGTGCATACAAAAGTTTTTATACAGACAGAATTGTGGTATATGAAGAAATCATCTATGTTTTTATATAACTGTTACTAGCTTCACAATCTTCTCAGTCATCAATTTTAAAACCTTCTGTTTCTGGGTGACTGGGTCCTTTCTGTTCCATGGGGTACCAAACAAACTAGCTCATACTAACTTTTAAGCATCCAAGATCTAACACTGAAACAATGGAGATGTTATATGGGTTTCACACAAAGCATGCTCCCTTGTGTAGTCTGCAGATGCTCATCTTCATGCAGAATAAACTCAATGATCACAAAAAATGATGTTTTTTTCTGTTGTTTAATAGCTAAAGCTTTTCAAGAGGAGATTTCATGCTTCTTTACTGAGGATTCAGCTTTGAAAGACCTTTACTCTGGAGATGAATGCAAACCGGCCTCTGGATAAATTTGGGATATTGTTTTAGAGTTAGGAGCATTGAAAGATACAAATTGTTGATAATTTTATTAGTTGTTTTGCTAGTAGCTGGTACTGTGATGTTTTTTGTCTTTAGTATGAGAAGAATATGGGTAACACACTGATATTTTCGTTGTTGCTAAGCAATGTGTATCCTAAGTGTAGGACTTTTCTGTTTCTCATGCTCTGACAGTGAGCAGATGCCCCACAAGTGTAAACCACAAGATAAGGAAGCTACAGCTCTCAGCAGAGGCCACAACTTGACAATGTAAGAGCAGTGAATGGCCTGCCTACATGGACACAGGGAAAGAATCCAGTAAAGTGTTAGAAGACCCCAGACCAAAAACTACAATTGGACCAAGAAAGGCATGTGACGAGCATGGGGAGGCAGGAGGGTGCCCCTAAAGGCATCCAGCTCAAGCTAATCTGCTGCTGTACCACTCTATGAAATTGTTTATTTTTATAAATTCTGATGGCTGAGACTCTTCCATGTAAAATCTACAGTCCAGCCCAAATGAGGAGAAAGTGCATCTGAGGGTGGGGGGTGTGTGAGCGATGAGTTGAAAGGGACACCCATTGCTCATGGAACTGCTCGCTGTCATAGAATTCCAGTCCCAGGAGTTACAATCTCAGGTGGTGTGTGCAGCTCCTGGAAAGGTGTGAGAGTACTCAGGCAGTGGCTTCTCATCTAACAAGAGTGCTATGGAATTGCACCTAGATCTGGTGCTGATTTTCACCAGCAGATGCACAGAAAGGCATCCATCACCTCCTGCTTCTGCACCAGGCCATGCCATCTGGTCACTGTAGCACGCAGCAATTGGGCTACTCTTGAGTTCATTGCCAGGCCTACTTCTGTAGATCAGTATCTTGGACTTCTCTTAATTACCCTTGATATTTTTTTGCATTTAGATTGACTTCTTGGAACCTTTCTATGATTCTTCCGGGAAACTGTGCAAGTAATTATTTGGATATTTGTCCGTCATATCCATATTCAGAGCAGGAATGCAAACCAGAGCAAAAGCACAAGCAGAAACAAAATAATTGTGCAGAAAAAAGACTTCATTACTCAAAGATTTAATCAAAAAGCATAAGTATTATACATCTCATTTAGAGACTCTTTATTCAAGAATGGGAATAGAGTAGAAATAAACAAAACCAGCAAAAGCTTCTATTACAATTTTGTAAGAAAAGTTCAGTCATATGCTTTCCTCTTTTCAGTTAGGGCAATAGTATCTCTAACTTTTCAGGTTGCAGAGGCATTGCTTATTTCTTCTGCCTGGTTTATTACAGTCATACCATCTGCAGCATTCTGCTAGTGCTGCAACACCAACCAATGGATATTTTTGCAAACCATTTGATATTATATTTCTGCCCCTTCTTATGCATAGACTTGGAGTGTGAGCTGAAGACTACTCATTAGAGCATGACCATGCAGCTTAATGTGATGTTATCAGTCTCTCCAAATTTCAAAAGCTCTGAGTCAGATGCATAAGAATTTCATATTTTTGAGCTTGAATTTCCCTCTGTAACTTTTCTGGTAGGTTTTGCCTGGCAGCAGCATTGGCCTCAATTTGTAGAGTTAAAGCTGAAAAAATTGAGTTATTCTATGGCAGTACTTAGCAAACTCTGCTTTTTCACAATAAGCAATGAAAGATGTTTAATTAAACAACATTATAGAGGAGAAGAAAGCAAAAAAAAAAAAAAGAGAAAGGAAGTAAAAGAATTTTCAGAAGAATCAAAGACAAATGCTTTCTCCAAAATCACTGAATGATAATGGGAATCTTTATGACTCCTCAATGAAGCACTGTAAGAGTGTAAACAGCAGCTGCTTTCTCACAGTTTGTTGTCTTCCATTTCTCAAACCCGGGTAAGCCTTTCCTTATCCTCATTTCAGTTGCTGGTCAATAAGTACCACTGTTTACTCTGCATGAGCTGCTCCATGCAATGCCCTTCATTACTTGTCTCTGCTTTTTCTTTGCTCCAGACATCTCAGCTCCTTTGCAGAAATACCCACAAAGCCCCCAGTGTTCTGACCATAAAGTGAAGTGTCCCTAAATAGATGTACTTCCCACTTTGTATGTGGATGCCCCAAGTCTGAGAACAACTGGAGACCCTTACCACAGGCACAGCCAGCTGCTCACAACAGAGGAAGTAATTTCCATACTTCTTGCATAGTTATTTTTTTGCCATGGTTATTTCACAAGGCAAAAGTGCCTTCCTACTTCTCCCACAATTTATTGCATAACACGGAACATAGTACATGAACTGATTAAATGTGCTATTCAGGTGGAAGTCTCTCCCCTAAAAACCTGTGAGACATCCCATAGAACCAGGTTTTCACATGTGGTGCTCTCAGTGGAGGCATTGATCTACTCTTTTTGGTCCACTGTGCGTAACCTCAGCCACATGACATTGCTACAGCACAATGCCTGCAGCCCACTCTGCGCACAGAGAGCTCCAGACCTGGGAAGCAGGACCTTCTTGGGAAAGGCCTCACACCATGAGGAAAGGTCCTGTGCAGGTTTGATTCAGGGCCATGAAATGCAGACCTTTCCACTTCCCCTTTCTGCTGAAATAGGTGGGGGATATTGCCAGTGCAAGGGAAAACCTTGGAGCTGCATCCTTACTCCCTGAGTCTGATTAAGTTCAGATAACCAGGGGTGGATTTTTCACTTTACTCATCACATGACCTCAAGGAAAGTCTTTGCTGAGTTGTCCAAGACCATCTTCAGCAGAGAATGTTCAAGAGAGCCTAGGAGGCCACAGCTGAAAAATCTGCCTGAACAAGTATTGCACTGAGATACAGGCAGTCTCTCAGGCATGTCAAGAAATACTTCCTATAACTGTTGGGACTCCTCAGAGGTGTGGGATCCTCTTGTCCTGAACACATACCACGGTGCTTGGGCAAACACTGTGCAGCCTGGACTGAAGAAATAGCATAGGTAACTCTCTTTGGCAGAAGCTGAAGTAATTTTGGCTCAAATAATCTCATTAAGGGGAAATAATAAGTCTGAAAGACTTCAGCAGAAGACATGTTCAAATATATTTATTTTGCAAGAGCCTGACCTCTGCAGGTTTCTGGCTGAAGTCCCAGAGAGCACATTTAGCTGTCTGTGATCTGTTTTCAGGCACTCAGTGGTGGCCAAGGGGGCTGCATCTCCTTTGTAGTTCTGGGAATTGGCATTTGCCAGGATCAGTGGTAACACCTTCCTTCAGCCATGCCCTCTGTGAGCCAGGAGAGCCAACACTCATCATAAGGGATGAAGGATTTGTGATTTTGTGAGGAATACAACACCCTAGCTCCCCAGACTGACACCTTTCACCCTCTTGCCCCTCATTAGCCAGGGCTGGGCTGTAAGGAGCACTTACAAGGTTGATGGGATAACCCAGCCACAAACTTGCAAGATTGATGGGATAACCCAGCCACTTTCCAAGGAGCCCATGGGCTCACTGAGTCTTGGCCATCCTCACCAACATGGTGCTTAGAAGCAGTGCAGACAGACCACATGTGGTCTGGCACAGGTGTAGCAGCTTAAATCTTCCCAACATCCCTTCTCTCCTGCTTTTCACAAAGCACAGCATAAAGCCTTCTCAACATAATCCTACCCACAGAATATGAGAAATACGATTTCTCCATTTCTACTAGGAATCAATAGATTGCTCTTTTCAGTTATGGTGGGTTTTTTTTTGTGTGTTGGTTTTTTTTTTTTGGTTTTTTTTTTACTTTTGTTTCCTGTGTGATTGCCCTCATTAACTTACCAGTATCTCCTGGCTAAAAGTGTGCCAAGCACCTCAAAGACATGAACAAACAAGCATGGACAGATGTGCTGGGCAGTCTCTCTTCCCACTAGGTCAGTAACAGGAAAGGAAAGGAAAGGAAAGGAAAGGAAAGGAAAGGAAAGGAAAGGAAAGGAAAGGAAAGGAAAGGAAAGGAAAGGAAAGGAAAGGAAAGGAAGGAAAGGAAAGGAAAGGAAAAGGAAGGAAAGGAAAGGAAAGGGAAGGAAAGGAAAGGAAAAGAAAGGAAAGGAAAAGAAAGGAAAGGAAAGGAAAGGAAAGGAAAGGACAGGAAAGGAAAGGAAAGGAAAGGAAAGGAAAGGAAAGGAAAGGGAAATCCTGTGTATGGCCTTTCACACTGCCCAGCCTCTCTCCCAGAATTTATTAGAAGTAAGCAGCTACTCCTGGTTTTGACCTCTGCTTGCATTTAATGCATAACTGCATCACATTCATATTCCCAGCTGACAGCAAAACTCAAACCATGGGATGAATCCCCATGCAAGCAAAGAGGTACTGGAAGGTAAGTCACCCTTTGGGGACTTGTGCCCACTTACAGGTAATATTTTTCAGTCCAGCTCATGGGAAGTGCAGTGCTTGCCCTTCTTCCACTGCCAGTATCCAGTGGGATTCCCTCATCCACCTATTTTCCTCCACTTGATCTCTGGAGTACCCTTGAGTGTCTGAGACAGTCCAATGAAGGACGTATTCATCCAGTCTTGCTGTTAAATAAATACTTCCCATCAAACCCTAAAAGGGAGGAAACAGTATTGCCAGACAAATACACGAAATGATGCAAGAGGCTGAGCTGAACATATTTACTTTTGTTGCTAAAATAAGTAGCTGGACAATAGCCACAGCAAGCTTCAACCCAAGTAATATGAAACAGGTTTTATATTTCTGTGAAGACACCGATAAAAGCTCAGGGAATGTATTTTTAAAAATTTTTAAAATAGATGTCTTTAAAATCACAAGTGGTCTGGGGAAGATGAACTGGGGATAGTTATTTATTGTTCCTCATAAACGGAGAACTAGGAGGCATACAGTGAATTTTTGGCAAGCAGGTAAAAAAAAAGCAGTTTTCCCATGCAGTTCAGTTAAATGCAACCATTTAAACTATGAAACTCATTGTCACAGGATGTTGTGGACACTAGGACTATAAAAAGATTCAGAAGAGTTAAACAGTGTGAAGTCTAGATCTAACAGTGTTTTAAAACACTTCTGAGTGGTTGCAGCTTCCAGCTCCTGAAATCTATAAAGTGCAGGTTTCCATGACCTGGGAGATTATAGAAGGGGTAAAAATCGCTCCATACATCTTATGCTGTTCTCCTTAAACAAGATGAAGGTACCCAGTGAGGTGAGCCCTTGGTTCAGCCTGCTTCTGGACTTTCTTAATCAATTGTATTCATAATTAGATACATTGTTTTTGTCCCTGGCAAGCCATATATCCCACTCAGGAGTGTAGTGGCTGACTGGAAGGATATGGGTCTGCTCAGTGTGGATCTTGTCGCAGGCACTGACTGGGATTTCAGAGAACATCGTATCATGCTCATCTGGGCTCTGCCACAGGCTCTTTGTGTGACTCATTTCAAAAGTTTTGCTAAATGATAGTAGTTTCCCCTTCATCTTGCTTGTGATTTTGACTACAAAGCTTTTTTGGGGAAGGCATATGGTTGCAGGGCCTAGCATCACAGAGTCCCTGTAACCTCTTTGGATACCACTTAATAAAGGACCAAGAGATCATGGAAAGGAAAGAAATCCCTCTAGCTTTCTCCCCTGATTGGAAAAGGGTGAAAGGTAGGAAGAGAAGATTATTACCAT